GATGGGTGGAATAAAAACCAAACACCTCCCACCCCACCTCCGCTGCCAATCCCCAACAGAAATGCTCACAACAATGAAAACCTCGAACAGGAGGAAGAGTGCCACCAGGTGGGCAGGCAGGTGTCTTGCTCATCTGTGGCTTGGGGGGCACTTTTTCCAATGCCATTGTAACTTTGAACAGTCATTAAACGAACTATTGTAAATCGAGGACTACCTGTACTTCATCACTTTTTCACTTTTGGGGGGAGGGTCATCAAGTTTTTGACACCTTGCTAGGCGACTGGTGGTAGTGGGATATTGCCATATCCTAAAAGTGGTACAATGGTGAAAAGGTTGAAAAGCCCTGTATTAGTCTACTCTCATTTACATGCTTTCAGACTGCTAGGTGGGCAGGAGCTGGGGCAAGGAATGGGAGCTCACCCCGTTATGCAACCCTCGGGTCTTGAACCTGGGCTGTCAGCTTTCCAGATGACAAGCTCAGTGTCTTTAACCACTGAGCCATCATGCCCCATTAGAAGACTACCATCGTTAATATTATTGAGTTTCAGGAGTATTTACAGTTCAGCTACCATGAACTATTTTGCAGTAAATATATCAAATATGATGACTATAGCAGTACCCATTACAACATGTGTAATGAATTCAGTCAGACTGAAATAAATCCAAATACTCTTTTCTATCCAAGAATTCTATAACTCAGTGGTGGCGAACCTATGGCATGGGTGCCAGAAGCACACGCGCTGTCACCCCAGTTCTAGGCCTTCAGCTGGGTTTTATAAAACCTTTTCACTTTAGGCCTCGGCCGCCGTGTGCAAAAAAAAAGGTTCAATCAATCAGTCAATTTCAACTTCTCACGGGAAAAAAAAGATCTTGCAAAGTTGGAATTGATTGATTGAACTTTTTAGTCCCACCCAGTCTGCTGTTACCACTGCAGCCACGCCCATCCAATGGGCCACATCCACCCAATGGGCCACACCCATCCGGCACCCGACAATGCATAAGTGGGCTTTGGGTTGCAGTTTGGGCACTCAGTCTCTAAAAGGTTCGCCATAACTGCTATAGCTGATACGTCCTACCTTGAACCATCTTGATTAGAAATCATTGAGTGGATACTAACCTAAAATTTCCACAAATAAAACATTCATGAGAGCAAAATTAAAGAACAATGGTATTTGTGGTTGACAAAATAATGTGATTGAAAGAATGGAATTTAATATCTTCATGAGCCAAGTCAGTTGGTTTGAATGTACAGTACAGGTTTGATGTGGGTTAGAAAGAGAGTCCTTCTGATCCATAGGACTTTCTGCCAAGAACCAGCTATTTTGGGGGCTTTGGTTATGCTGATGAAACCACTTTGAGGGCTGAAAACCAAGACGTTCCTCCTTCCCTTCTTCCTTCCTTCCTTCCTTCCTTCCTTCCTTCCTTCCTTCCTTCCTTCCTTCCTTCCTTCCTTCCTTCCTTCCTATGTATTACCAAATATTGAGGTTTCTTACTGAGATATTAAACTGAAGTTAGACCCATAAATATTACAGTCAAAACTAGGGCAATCATTTAAAAACCTGTTTTAAAAAGGTGTTTGTTTAAAGCAGTGGTTCCCAACCTTTTTAATGCCGCGACCCCCGCGACCCCCAACCGGTCGTAAGTCGAGGACTACTCAACCAGTCGTAACTCGAGGACTACTCAACTGGTGCAGCACTGTTTGCAGAATGGGACTTTTGGCGGGCTCAGCAGAGCAGAGACAGCCTGGACAATTCCTATTGGCTTTTGAAAGCCAATAGAATTAGACTCTATTCAAGAGAGTCTATTCTGTTGGCTTTCAAAAGCCAATAGAATAAAAGGGAGTAGCACAGCTAAGGAAAAGGGGAAAAAAATGGCGGACTGCGTTGTTTGGTGACCCCCGTGAAATGGTCATTTGACCCCAAATGGGGTCCCGATCCACAGGTTGAGAACCACTGGTTTAAAGCCTTCAAAAAGCCAGGTACAGTAACTCCTCACTGTAACTTTACTGTAACTTTAATTCCGTTGATCCCCTCAACTCAACACCAGGAGGTGGGGGGTGAATGAGGCTGGCTATAGAGCAGGGGTGTCAAACTGCTGGCCCGCTGGCCAGACATGTCATCAGGAAACTGCGCTCACCCCATTGCCAACAATGGGGAAAAAGCTCCGATACATTGCGCGACGTCACGTGACATCACGAGTTTAACATGTCTGCTATAGAGCATCTTAGCTTACAGCTAAATTGCCATGAGCAGGGAAAACAAGCACTCCTCCTGATCAGTAAATAAGTAATCAAATAAAGATTTTTTAAAGATATTTTGTTGGAATCCAAAAGAGAAAACTTGTCAGATTTGAAAGTGCAGGATTAGAAGGCAGGAAAATGAAGAGCTGTTTAAGAAAGGGGGAAACAAGTGAACCTTAAATCAATATTTATGAATGCACAATTAGCTGTGCGATGACAGAATATTACTAGGTTAGTCTAAACCAATGTTTCTCAACCTTGACAATTTTAAGGCATGTGGACTTCAACTCCCAGAATTCCACAGCCAGCATTGGTAAAATTGGTAAAATTTAAGATCCAAAAGAATGAGAATCGCTGGTTTATGTCATATTAAACTGAATAAGGAGATGTAATCTGAAAATGCTGTAATCCTGCTGCAAGTATTCGCTAGGAAAATTCAAATCCCACTGTTGACACAAAGGCCAGCAAGAGCCACAACATTTTGGCTGCAATATTCCCAATAGTCACCAGATGGCACCAAAGAGAAGCTTCTGCCTATGCTGTCATCTAGTGTCCACCTGGAATTTGTCCAAAGGTGAGTTGCATCTCCCATCTTGAGTTATGTATTGGAATGGAATAGAATAGAGCTGGAAGGGATCTTGGAGGTCTTCTAGTCCAGCCACCTGCTGGAGCAGGAAAACCTATACCATTTGAGACAAGTGACTGTCTAGTCTCTTCTTAAAAACCTCCAATGGTGGACTGCCCTTTCTGAAGGCAAGCTGTTCCACTGGTTAATTGTCCTCATTGTTAGGAAGTTTCTCCTTAATTCCAGGTTGCTTCTCTCTTTGGTCAGTTTCCAACCATTGTTCCTTGTCCTACCCTCTGGTGCTTTGAGAATAGTTTGACACCCTCTTCTTTGTGGCAGCCCTTCAAATACTGGAATACTGCTATGATGTCATCCCTATTTCTTCTTTTCTTTAGACTAGCCAAACCTAAGTCCTGCAGCCATTCTTCATATGTTTTAGTCTCTAGGCCTTTGATCATCTTAGTTGCTCTTCTCTGAACTTTTTCCAAAGGCTCAACATCTTTTTTGTAGTATGGTGACCAAAATTGGTTGCAGTATTCCGGGTGTGGTCTTACTAGGGCTTTATAAAGCGGTACTAATACTTCACGTGATCTTGATTCTATGCCTCTGTTTATACAAAAGTGCTTTTTCAAGAGGCAACTGGACTTTCTTATTTTTCTTTGAAGACCTGGATGACTGAGAATCTCCATAGACATCCACCCATAATTTGTATCCCCAAACCGTTAACTTAACAAGTTAAATATTAGACTACGCTGCCCTAAATTCTTGACTTAAACCGTAAAGTTGGCTCTATTACTAGATTATTATGGAACTTAAGAGAATACATGGCTAGTCTAGAGAAGAGAAGGACCGGGGAGACATGATAACAGTATTCCAATATTAGAGGGGCTGTCACAGAAAGGAGGGGGTCAACCTATTTTCCAAATCACCTGAAGGCCAGACAAAGAATAACAGATGGAAACTAATCAAGGAACAATTCCACCTGGAAATAAGGAGAAATTTCCTGACAGTGAGAACAATCAACCAATGGAACAATTTGCCTTCAGATGTTGGTGGTGCTTCATCACTTCAGGCTTTCAAGAAGAGACTGGACTGCCATCTGTCAGAAATGGTGTTGGGACTCCTCCTTGGGCAGGGGGTTGGACTAGATGACCTACAAGGTCTCTTCCAACTCTGCTATTCTATTCTATTCTATTCTATTCCATTCCATATTCTATTCCATCCCATTCCATATTCTATTCTATTCTATTCTATTCTATTCTATAATTCTATTTTATTCCATTGCATATTCTATTCTATTCTATTCTATTCTATTCTATTCTATTCTATTCCATTCCATTCCGTAATTCTATTCTATTCTATTCCATTCCATTCCGTTCCGTAATTCTATTCTATTCTATTCTATTCTATTCTATTCTATTCTATTCTATTCTATAATTCTATTCTATTCCATTCAATTCTGTAATTCTATTCTATTCTATTCTGTAATTCTATTCTATTCTATAATTCTATTCTATTCTATTCCATTCCATTCAATTCTGTAATTCTATTCTATTCTATTCTATTCTATTCTCCATTCCATATTCTATTCTATTCTCCATTTCATATTTTATTCTATTCTCCCTTCTATATTCCATTCTATTCTCCATTCCATATTCTCTTCTCTTCTCTTCTCTTCTCTTCTCTATTCTATTCTATTCTATTCTATTCTATTCTATTCTATTCTATTCTATTCTATTCTATTCTATTCTATTCCATTCCATTCCATATTCTATTCCATACCATTGCATATTCTATTCTATTCTATTCTATGCTATGCTATGCTATGCTATGCTATGCTATGCTATGCTATGCTATGCTATTCTGTAATTCTATTCCATTCCATGCTATTTTATCAGACAATTTAGGGTCGTCTTCTTCCTGGTTATTCGAAAACGATTCAGTTATAGAAAACCCAACTTTCCGATCATTCTCTACATCTCCCAGCTTTGCATTTGGAGTGAAACGAATCCCAAATTGCCCTGACTTTATTTTATTATTTTATTTCAAAACGGTCAGACGAGAGTAACCTCCCTGAGAACCGCCCGCCGTGGCGCTCGAGGAGCTCCTGAGTCTCAGCCCCGCCCTCTTCGAGGAGGAGAGTTCGGGTGAGGGTGGGGGGGGGCAGAGGGAAAGCGTTCTCTTCTCACGGAGGAAATTGGCCTCGGTGGCTCGCCGTACGCGAAGCCTTAAGCAGCGTGAGAGTTGAAGAGCGAGGGGTTCCCCTTTCCGTCCCTGCTGCGGCGCTTGCAGCTTTGTGGGTTGGAACTTTCACGCTCGCGGGATTCGAAACGTCACAATGGCTCAGAACGTTCAGAGTGTTACATTGTCTCTCACGCTGCCCATCACTTGCCACATTTGCCTGGGAAAGGTAAACGCCACCCTCGCCGTTTTGGGGTTTTTTTTTACAAAGGGACCGCGCGGAGTGGAACGTGTCCGGCGCCGACGCCCCACTCCCTTGCAAAATGCGCGTGGGACGCAGGAAAAAGCCCCCCCTCGATTAGGGAGAGGAGGAGAAGCGCTTTTAATTCCACGCGTTCTTTCTTCTTTTTCTCTTCCCACCCCTTCCACCCCTTTCTCGCGTGGCTTGAATGGGCGATTATTTCTAAATTCTAGCTTTGTCCCTAGCTTTGGAAACGGCTCGCCGGAAGCTTAGAGGCTGCGGTGGCTTTTTCGAGGCAGGAGGAAGGCCTTAGGTAGGTGGAATGGCATGGGAAGCAAACCGGGGATTCTGCTTTCGGGGGAAGCTCTATTTCCGCTTTCCAAGTGTTACTTCAATTATCGGCTTCCGAAAAAAAAATAAAATTAGAATGATTCTTGCTGCCGTGCAAATGCAGCGGAGCTTCAGGAAATCCCCTTGCAAGGAAAGGAGAGATCTGGAAAGAAGAATTTTTTTCCCCCCTTTCTCTCTCTCTCTTTCTCTCTTCCGTCTTGTATGTTTCCTCCTTGGATGGGCGATTCACGCGGAGGACTTTAGGATTGTAGGTTTTTTTTGTCAGTAGTTGTGGGTAACCTGTTGGTGGGTTCTCAACCGAGGTTGTAGAAACAAGGTAGGCCGAATGACGGGGGGGGGCGGGGGAGAGCCACCGTCTATCCCTAGCCCATAACGGGTAGTCCTCGGGCTTACGACCAGAATTGAGCCCCAGATTTCTGTTGCTAAGTGAGACGTATACGTTAAGTGAGTTTTGCCCTGTTTTGCAAACCTTTCTTGCCAGAGTTGTGAAGTGAATCGCTGCAGTTCTTGTGGTTGTTAAATGGGCTTCCCCCATTAACTTTGCTTGTCAGAAAGCCGTAAAAGGTGATCCCAGGACACCGGGACACAGCAAAACATCATAAATATGCACCAGTTGCCAAGCATGTCAGTGTTGACCACAAGACTGTGGGGATGCTGCAAAAGTTGTAATGGTGAAAAATGCTCATAAGTCACTTTTTTTCCGGGGCCGTAACTTTGAACGGTCGCTAAATCAACTGTTGTAAGTCGAGGACTACCTGCATGGATTGCTGAAAGGCTCCTCTTGAAGTTGAAGTTCATTGGGTTTCCCTCACTTTTCTTCTAAGTTCAAAAAGCATGAGAAGATTTGAAAGTAAATCGGTAGTGACGGCTCATTCTGAGCTACAGTGATTTCAGATCTTTGTTATTGTCTGCACTTTCTCTGATTTGCTGTGGCTTTCCACTGTCCCTTATCCTTCTGGGTTTGTTAAATTTATGAGGTCTCCAGTTTTTCTCTTAGGTGAGACTGTGACTGTCATGGCCCAAGGAAGGAAGACTTTTCTCTCTTTTTTTTTCCAGAATTGGGATTGTTTTCCTAATGGCTCGGTCCATTATTGAGTTTTCCCTCCTGAATTGGCTTCTAAGAAATTGTTTTATTGGGTAAAGGTTATCTTTACCTTTACAAAAAGATAAAGATAAAGGTTTCCCTGCAGAATCTAGTTTAGTACTTATCTCCATTTCTTAGCCGACATTTTCCATGGTCATGTGTGGCCAGGATGGCTACACATCAAAGATGCACAGAACACTGTTACTTTCCCACCAAAGTGGTACCCGTTAATCTACTCACGTTCGCATGCTTTCAAACTGCTAGGTGGGCAGGAGCTGGGGCAAGGAACGGGCGCTCAGTCCATTGCTCTGGTATCGAATCCGGGCTGTCAGCTTTCCAGCTGTCAAGCTCAGCGTCTTTAACCACTGAGCCATCGTGCCACAATACAGTCACTGACGCAGAGGCAAAATAATAATAATAATAATAATAATAATAATAATAGTAATAGGAAACCCTATACCATTTCGGACAAATGGCTATCCAGTCTCTTCTTAAAAACTTCCAGTGTTGGAGCATTCACCGCTTCTGGAGGCAGGTTGTTCCACTGGTTAATTGTTCTAACTGTCAGGAAGTTTCTCCTTAGTTCTAGGTTGCTTCTCTCATCTTCTCATCTTTTTCATTTTCACTTAAAAATATTAATTGCACCATTTTTCTTCCCTTTTCTGTATAGAAGGAACACTTAAAGATGTAATTAATAAGGATAAAAGAATGTCAAAATAGTATTAATGTCTACTAATGGTCTGATGTAACAGTACAGGTAGTCCTCCATTTAAAGCTATTCATTTAGTGACTGCTCAGAGTTGCAGGAGTGCTGGGAAAAGTGACTTAGGACCATTTTTCACATTTACCACTGCTGCAGCATCCCCAGGGTCAAGTGACCAGAATTCAGACTCTTGGCAACTGACTTATATTTATGATGGTTGCAAAGGTCCCGTGCTCTTGTGATCACCTTTTGTGACCTGTCACCTAACAAGCAAAGTCAATGAGGAAACCACATTTGCTTAACAACCAACTAACTTAACAAGTGGTATTACTAACTTAACAACTGCAGTGATTTACTTAACTGCAGCAAGAACGGTCGTAAAGTGGGGCAAAACTCAACCACTGTCTTGCTTAGCAACAGAAATTTTGGACTCTTAAAGGTTGTAAGATTAGTACTAGCTGGGCAGTTTTTACCGTTGCTTAATTAAGCAGCCATGGAGTCTACCACTCCTTAGGAAGGAGTTGAATCAGAATAGAGGTGGAAGGGACATTGAAGGTCTTCTAGTCCAGCCCTCTGTTCAAGCAGGATATCCTATCCCATTTCAGACAAGTGACTGTCCAGTCTCTTCTTAAAAATCTCCAGTGAGGAAGCACCTACAACTTCTGGAGGCAAGCTGTCCCACTGTTTAATTGTTCTAACTGTCAGGAAGTTTCTCCTTAATTCCAGGTTGCTTTTCTCCTTGATTAGTTTCCACCTGTTTCTTGTCCTGCTCTCTGGTGCTTTGGAAAATAAATTGATCCCCTTCTCTTTGTGGCAACTTCTCCAATAGTGGAAGACTGCTATCATGTCCCCCCTAGTCCTTCTTTTCTCTAGACTAGCCAAACCCAAATCCTGCAACCGTTCTTCATATGTTTTAGTCTCCTTTAATCATCTTAGTTGCTCTTCTTTGCACTTTTTCCAAAGTCTCAAAAGTTTGGGGATATGTGGTGGCCAAAAATGGGTACAGTATTCCAGGTGTGGTCTTACTAAGGGCTTTATAAAGCGGTACTAATACGTGATTTTGATTCTATGCCTTTGTTTATACAACCAAGGATTGTGTTAGCTTTTTGGGCTGCTGCCACACACTTCACCTGTGGAAGTGGAAGCCCTTCTTGTAGAGTTAACAAACTTGCTTCCTTCAATGCTACACATCCAACCTGGTCTCTGATGAAGACTAGAGTCCAGTGTATTTCAATCCTGGCTACTTGAAGATATGTGGACTTCAACTCCCAGAATACCCCAGCCAGCATTCTGGCTATAGACAATGAGCTGGCTCATACAAGAGGAAGTGGATTTTCACTTATCCTGAAAAAGCAAAAGCAGAACTAACAGGAAGCCCCTGTCATTTGATCCCAGATGTGTTACGGTATCTTAAATGTACACCGGATTCTAGTCTGGCCAGTATACTTGCATATTTTGATTATTTTTTGGTGAGAATTCATCACAGTGGGTGTTACCGTAATCTGAGATAAACGCATAATTATCATGATTAAATTTATGAATTCCCTGCCTTCTTGGAGCTTAGGGCAATATGTATAATAGGATGCTCTTAATTTTTTTATCCCCAGTCCAATATAGTAGATTGAGCTGAGAGAGAAAATCTGGGCCCAAATCAAGTTAATTCCATGGTCAAATAGATTTGAACATGCTTCTTTCTGATCCCAGGCCCAAAATTCAAGCCCTACTTTACTAGAACACTGGTCCTGTGTTACGAATGTTTCATTTTCAAGAAAGAAGGCAAAGACTAATCAAATCTTTATTACAGTCATAGACCAGCATAAGCATCTTCATTATGATTCTCTCCTACAGAGAGAATAAGATTCACAAACTCCTAACTTTGTAGCTGAATGCTCAAATAGCAGTTCGTTTGCTTTATATTCTATATAGGAAATAGGCTGAAGTATGGAGGGTATTAGTTTAATATTGGCAATTATAAGTGCAGTTGAGTCATTATTGTGTGAAGTATTTCTTTTTTTCAGAGTTTGGCGTATACTTTAAGAACCATGATTATTGGTTTAGCTCAGGAATGGGCAGATGTTAGGAACCTTTAAGTGATTTTCAGTTTATATTCTATATAGAAAATAGGCTGATGTATGGATTTTTTGTTGTTGTTGTTAGTTGCGAAGTCGTGTCCGACCCATCGCGACCCCATGGACAATGTTCCTCCAGGCCTTCCTGTCCTCTACCATCTTCTGGAGTCCATTTAAGCTCACGCCTACTGCTTCAATGACTCCATCCAGCCACCTCATTCTCTGTTGTCCCCTTCTTCTCTTGCCCTCCATCTTTCCCAACATTAGGCTCTTCTCCAGTGAGTCCTTCCTTCTCATTATTAGTTTAATATTGGCAATTATATGTGGGGTTGGGTCATTATCGTGTAACATATTTCTTTCATCAGAGTTGCTTGGAGTATAATTTAAGGACAAAGATGTATTGGTTTAGATCAGGAATGGGCAGGTATTAAGATAGGAATCTCTCTAGGTGATTTTCAGTTTTGAAAAAGAAAACAAAACAGCACAATTACTCATTTGAATCTAAAAAAACCCAAACCCTCTCTCTTTCTGAAGAATGGGAGAGGAACTGGAGGGAACAAAAAAAAAAAAAAAGATTTAACTTCAGGCACTGTAAAGCATCTCTGGATCATGAATGCAGAGGGAAGGAGATGGGCAAGTTAAGAAATATGAAGTATAAATAAAATGCATTTATAGATCTGCAGTCTTAAGCGGGTGACTAGGTTCCTATCCAGGACTTAAGATCATAAATTATTGAAGTTGATAAGTTGGTCACCCAGTTGTTAAGTCAATCTGGCTTCCC